GGTGTGATGTACTACTAGCATTGTTCAACCCTTATATACAAGTGATGTTATTCATTTAAGGCCATTTCGCGTTTCTTTTGTTTTTCTTGTAAAAGTCCATTCTTAAAAAGTTACATCATCCCCTAATTTTTTTAATAAATAAAACATTTTAAAAAATTATTTAAACATATATAACAAGAATTTATTAATCTCGAAAGTAGCTTTTAATTTTTCAAAGTTATATGAACGACCTTTACTTATCGATCTATGTAGTAGAGCTGCTAGGTTGACAGATAATAATTTAGATTACAGACGAATATATTATTCAATATAGAAATCCTTATTTCCTAATTCAGGAGTTTAATCGAATTAATAGTCGGACATATTTTAAAAAGTATTATAAAATTAATCTAAGTATTCGGAGTACAATCTTTAGGATTTAAAATATAAATCATACTAGTACATAATCATTTACATAATACATTACATAATTGACGTGAGCGCGCATCTATCGATAGTCTATAATTTTTGACTTTTCCACACTTCATATCCACGGTTAGATTTGTTCCACATGAGCCTATGTAATCCATTATATACAATAATTATGTACATATAGATTTATCCTTAAAATATTAGATACATGTCTGCACATATTCGCTAATCTTAATTCTTTGTAGTGTACTTGTAGCATTGTTTCATTTTTATTAATTAGTCACTATTTTATTTTTGTTTTAATTTAAACACTTTATCATTCTAAATTAAAAGAAGGATCATGCTATACTTACAAAATGTTTTACCTAATTTTGTACAAATTGGACACTTGGCGCCCCTCTGTTGGAGGGACATCTGTGGTGGCAGGCACCCCTCCAACAAGGGGGCGCCAAGTGTCCAGTTTGTAAAAAATTAAGTAGAATATTTTGTACATTTAGATTTATCCTTAAAAGAAATGCCAATATGAGTAACGTAAATGATGATGCAACGGGATAAATTTATATTCGAGTTACTTTTATTATTTCGAAATGATTTTTTTTTTTTGTAAATAAATAGTAATTGTTAAGAATTGGAGTTCTATCTTAAAATGTCAATCTTATTAAGAGAAGTAGTCCAAGATCTTTATTAATTTTGTCAACATCATTTATCGATGTTGGATATGTATTCCTTAACATTAATTATTAAAGAAAGCTAAACTTGTCTAATTAGACGGTTTTTTTCTCTCTAGTTACACAGTAAAAATAATGCACCAACGAATATTTCATGTCGCTTCATCATGAACTCAACAAAGGAAGGGTCAAATCTAAAGAAAAATTAAAGTTTAGGGACTAAAACAAAGTTTGGTGACTAAAATGAATAACTGCTGTAAGTAGAGTGTCTAAGAGAAATTACCCCCTTCGAAGAAGAGAAGGTAAAATTGTTAAGGAAATAATAATTATAATTGTGACATTGCCCAGGGCCACCAGTCATTGAAAAGGCAGGATGAATGAAGGAGAAACTCGCTGGTTAGGACCGTTGGGGGTCGGGTCCTATTAACGGCTATAAAATATGAGAGAGCCTTGCCATACAGAAACGAAAATAGACACAACGTGTGGGGCCCACTTTTTTAAAATAATATTTAGATCAGGTGGGACCCACATGTGATAAAATATTTGCATGGATTTAACTAAAACACCCACATCCTGATAATGCATAGCGGCCCCACTTCATGTGCACCCGCCAAATAAATGTGAATTAGTCTTATCCCATGAACTTGCCCTTAGATTGGGGTGAGCCGCTCGTGATTAGTACTTTTTAATTTTTCTATTAGAAGTTCAATTCAATTATCATCATCATCATCTAGCTATAAGATGAATCGATGCAAGTGGACGAGGCGATTGAGTGGTCCCTGACTCACCTCCAGAGCAATTCAGCGAGCATTCGCTCCAACTTAGATTCATAATTTACTCTTATTAAGTGAATTTTGCGGCAAAGAAATTGTCAAAACGATAATAAAATTATTTTGAACTCTGAATCGTGAATTTTAGTATTCTATATATAAAGATGAAATTTCAATAAAATTTTCAATGTCAACTATTGATTTTCAGCGATGCCTTTCTTTACAAAATCAACCCTTCTTACCAAACGGATCACAGAATTATCAAATTGGGATAATTCTTTTTTTACTTTATAAAATTGTCTAAAACCTTTTTTATCACTTCATAGAATTAAAAAATAAAAAAAAATATTATTAAATATTCAATATTATAAGCATAAAAAAATTGATATTTCTTTTGTATCAGGCACACGAGGGTCGAACACATTAAACAACTTAGCCGTATTAGATGAAATATTACTAGGAGATATTTCAAATTTTTTTTTTATTTTTATTTTAGGGAGTGAATTAAGAAAAGTACAAAGTTTGAGAAGTAGATTACAAGGTCATATCATACACATAATTAACACTGATGATAACCATTTTAAAAGTAATTATCAGACCTTCCCTTGAAGCCAATTTGCCCAAAAGTAAGGGTGACGAACAGGCCAAAGTGCCAGCAGACCAACCACAACCTATTCAATAAGAATGCATATCCAAGTGAGGAACATAACCTTAAAATTTCATCAATATATATGCCATGTATATATGGACTGATCAAATTTTGAGGCGACAAGGCATAAATCTAGAATCAGTATTTGAAAGAAAGGTACATCTTTTTACATTCAAGGGTTATAGCATCTACTGCTCACCAGAATTGTGAAGTGAGGGCAGGAGGAGTGGGGAAGTGGGCGAGTTCAGTTCCAATGCTCTCAAAGAAAAGCCCTGTCAAACTTTTGCCACCGATAATTGGAACGCTGGATGGAGCAAGCCATCCTATCAGTCCAAATCCGATCACGTTCAGGTCTCTTCGCAGCCAGTCTCTTTCAAAGCTTTATAAACAAACAATTATACGTTTTCATTAGACAAATCTAGAGTTATATGTATCACGAGTGAGTATTAGTTATTGGTGATCAGTCATTTACCATGTGAACTTTCCTCCGGAAGCTTGTGCTAGCCTCAGAGGATTCGGGGCAGTTACTTGAGATTTTAGAAATCCTGAAAAATAATATACAGATTATTCCTGATTCAAAGTCTCGCTACCATCCATATAAATGATCGTGCACATGATATATTTTAATGGTAAAAAAATTAACCCTACCTAAGCATGAGGGCTTGTCGAAGACAATATTAATTTAACTGATATCACGTGGACTTGTCGAACATCTTAAAATTAGATCAAGTGGTTGAACATTGAGCATATGAGGCCTAGTTCAAACAGATACAAGTCGCAGATTTTACGACTAACAAGATCATGAATTCAGCTTTCATTAAGTATTAGTTCGAATCATGCTACTTGTGCAGCCTTGATTGACAACTTCACACTTTGCAGCAACACATTCATACATTTTAAAAACTGTTTTTTAGATCAACGGTCCGGATTTTAACAACACCAAGGTTGTCAACAACGATTGTCTACAAATAGCTTCAATCTAGCAGCAGTTTATCCAAAGTCACATCCATTGTGACTAAACCAACCATACAAGGGAAGTATCAAAAGAACACTTAATTTGAACAAAGAATCCAAAAGAAAGAAAATTTATGCAACTGAAAGAACACCATTGTACCAACAAGTAAAACATAGTCAAAAGAAGATCAAACAAAATCTGGGCATAGAAAATACTTCAAAAACAACAACAAATGATTCAATAAAGACTATGAAGTATTACCTGAACTGAGGTTCAGTTTCTTTGAAGGAGAGACCCTCGAAGGGGAAGAAAGAGAGGAAGTACCCAAGCCAACAACAGTTGATGAAGTCGCCATGGTTGCAGCCATTTTTTTTAGCTCGTGTGTGATTTTTCTCCAAGGCTGTGGCTGTGCGTGTCTTTTGTTGAGCAAAAATAATGGTGGGGCTTGTGATTTTACATGGATATTTTTGTGATTTGTGGTTGAAGAAAGGATTGTGTAATTGGCAGATTACATGGATTGGTTGCGGAGCAATGACATTTCGCCATGTGTATCTCTATGGATAAAATGTCACTTATTCTTTGGATTCATGGACCCGAATTTATTTGTTTCGTTAGTGTAGATATAGCCCCATCCTTGGTGTAGTTTAAAAACTAGATAAAAATTTAAAGTAATTTCATTTCACCATTTTATCAATTTTTTCAGTCATAAATTTTACTAATTGTTCTGATTTTAGCTACACCAAACAGGGACATAGTCTACACATTTATAATAGAGGAAAGCATGTCCACACGCCCTAAGACATAGTCTACACATTTTCTTCTCAAAATGTATTTTTATGTTGCATCAAACAACGAAATCCCATCCCCTAAGGGTGGCAAAAGGGATGAGTAGCTCGTTGGCTCTGCTCTTCAAACATAATTAATTAATAATTTTTATACAAATAAATTCTAGACAATTGAATTGTTTAAAATTTATTTTATTTCTATGCAAATTTTATGCTCAATCAAATGTACCCTTTATTATTTTCCACGAAAAATATTTTTCAACTTTTGTTTATGTGACCATATTTTCTTTTTTCCTCAAAAAAAAAAAAAACACTTTCTTTAGGGAGGAGTAAGTCTTTTATTTTCCAGACAATTTACTCTCTTTTTAGTTTTTTCTCTAGTCTATCTCCCTCTCTCATCCACTCATCAATAAAAAACAGATAAGTATAATATTTTTCAACTTTTGTTCATGTTTTTTTTTTTTTTTGCAAAAATATGTCCACATTTTGAAATTGAAACATAAATTTCTTTGTAAATTAAGTTCTCCAGAGGCAAAAACAAAAAATTCAATTTTCACCGAAAAGAAACCCTAATATTTCGTGCGCGATTTTGGCTGATGTTCACATCCAATCCAAGCGTGCTTATGCATTTTTGATCAATATATGTTGTTATTACTCTAGATAATCGGATTCATAGATGAAAAAGTTGGATCAAGAGTGCTTAAATTGAAATCGACCAAGAGAGAGCGTGATGTTGAAACATCTTCAAATTTTAAGATGAAAATGTCTTGATATCGATGAAAAAACTTCGATTTTTCATCAGAATTCCCCTAAATGATCTGAAATAACACCTGTCTAGGAATTTGTACTCCCACATGCACTTGGGATCCTGTTTGAATTACATTAAAATTTNTAGGAATTTGTACTCCCACATGCACTTGGGATCCTGTTTGAATTACATTAAAATTTTTATTATCATTCTTCTACTTATTTTCAAACACACATTTTTTAATAAAATAACATTTTCTATCACATCAATAATTTTTCCTTCTTTTTCAATCACACATTCTCCATCAATCTATTATTCCAAAATAACGTGGCTCAAACACACCATAAATAAGAACAAAGGAATTATGGAAAAGAAAGTGATTAAATAAGAGATTTGATTTTATTTGGAGGGTTGCTCAATAATCTACTAAGCACTTTTTATGTTCAGCTATTTAGAAAATCTTCAAGATATTATATTTAAAAATATATATATAAATTTTGTGAGTAAATTTTTTATGCACTTCAACAATATTATTCTCTATTCTGACTTTTTTTTCTCCCAAGAAACATTTATTGATTTATTCTCAACTTTTATAACATAACTTTTTATATGTTAACGATTGATCAATTTAAACATTATTTGAATAATTTAGAATTAAATTATTGAAATACCGGGGAAATTTCATTTTGAAGTTTGAACTCTGTGCATAATTTGTGCATGTGCGTCAGTGTGTAATAGGTGTTTAAATTTTTTATACTGTATTTTTTTTCACTTTGAAGTACTTCTCAACTTATTTGTTTAAAAACCCCAAAATTTATGGGTATTTTTCTAGAGGCCCGATTATAAGATGTTACTTCACGTTGGACCTTACTGTTGGAGACAATGGGTGATTTGTGTGTAGATACTTATCAATTAAATAACATAAACATAACAATATTAATAAATATAATTCAACTATAACAAACATAAAAAAGTTATTTATTTAATTGAAAAAAAAAAAAAATAAAGAACAAAAAAAAAAAAACTTTCTTTAGGGAGGAGTAAGTCTTTTATTTTCCAGACAATTTACTCTCTTTTTAGGTTTTTCTCTAGTCTATCTCCCTCTCTCATCCACTCATCAATAAAAAATAGATAAGTATAATATTTTTTAGGTTGAAAATTAAATTGATCAAACACACTTATTTAATAATTTTCAAACAAATAAGTTCTATAATTACCTAAAATTTATTTTATTTTCATACAAATTTCATATTTTCAATCAAACGACCCTTAAGAAAAATATAAAAATTACATTTTATATAATTTTCAAAGTGTGGAACTTTTTTACAATTACAATGTATGTAATTTTTTACAATGAGTGTACTTACACTGTTTATTCCATTATAGTGTTATATATAATTTTTATTTTTATTTTAAAATTGTAACTTTCAAACCGTGTAATAATCATATTACATCCCATGCTGTTTTGTTCGTAATTCACGCTACAAATTGTCTAAAAATCATATTAAATTAGTGTGTGTGAATCCTTGTTAAGGCACATATAACTTTTTTTTTTTTCAAAACGAAATACCTCACAAACACCACCGCGGCTTCCCCCTCCATCCGTCACTATTCACGACAAATATTGTCGAAACAAATGATAAAGATAAATCCAAATACGTAATTTAAATCCCGTATTCATTGACTTTATCAACAACTTTAAAGAATCCTCGTATACGCACTAGGTGATCAGTTGAGATCCACTGTCCATTTATGCCGAACAATTTTCTGTTCACTCAATTACATTGCAATTGGATGGGCAACAAATTGAACAGTAAAAATGGTCAACAGATCTCAACTCGCACGTAATCCTATAGGAAGCCAATTGCCTGCATATTTCAAATTCAATCGGTTGAATATATTTGTTATTTCAAATCCAATTGCCTTGAATAATTGAGGATGGCCGACAGTTTATAGACAATTTTAATTAAATAAACACGCACATACAGAGATGAAACCTCCCTTGACTTCTGACTTTAGTGGTCAAATTTATAGACACCATTGATACAGCAAGAATTTGGATTATCTTCAAAAAAAAGGAACACAAAATCCTCCCTATAAATTGGCCACACTCGCAATCCTTGATTTGCAACATTGCAACTTTAGCACGTACTCGCAAGTCGATTCACAGCTTCAATTTTCAAATATTTTCTAAAAAATGGAACCAAAATCTCTGTTAATTTTTCTGTTTGTTGCTATAATGGCAACCTCAATTGCAGAAGCTCAAAATCCACTTGGCATAGTACATGTCAATGGAACCCTGTATTGCACCATCAATGGTGGCTCCAATGGGCCTGCAACCCCACCTTTTTCTAGTAAGTTTCGTTAAGTTTTCAATATGATATCTCTATTCAAAACATATATGTTTATTGTGTTAAGTTATAGAGTCTAATTATTGTCGCTGTTCGGCTATGTGCGCATCCAGTCTGCGAATTGTTTATTCTCAATGAAATAGAATTAGAGTCTAATTCTCAACATATCGTATAAGTCCCGTATAGTTTAAACTTTTAGTCGGGATAGATGGACAAGTATTATATACGATACTAAGACCAATTGGGTATATTTTGTACAGATGCTACCGTGCAGCTGGAATGCGAGCCTGCGAACCTGGTCTTTTCAACGAATTTTACAACAAATGCGGCTGGAGGGTACGACGTAATAGTGATACCTAGCCAGAATACAACACTGAACGCAATATTGTCTTCTTGCAAACTAGCGGTCGACACACCTCTATCCGACTGCAATGCAAACCTGCCATCAGTTGGACGCCTTGTTTCGACATTGCAGTTCGTGAAAACAGTTCCTGCTGGCTTTTTCAGGGTCACTTACCTAATTGCTACAAATTTTCAGCTCGTCTAATTGAGTAATAAAGGCATTCAATATATCCCTGCTATTGTATGAATAAATTATGAGATTGTTGAACAACTCTTGTAAGTCCATAGTTGGAATAATGTTGCAAGAAATTAATACAAAATTAAAGATTCTGTTGCTACAGCTTTATATTTGTTTTCCAAAGAAGTAGCCATGGATATATGAGGCATGCGCAGTAATTGTTACATCTGTATTTAACGTCCAAATCAATAGACAAAAACCGTTCATGTATCGGAATTTTAATATACACTTTGATGTTTAAGTCAGCTTTTGACGACAGAGAAATGCAAATTTGCAGCTTGAAGGAGCAGCGCTTGCATTTGAAGTCATACAAGTTGTTTAATTGGATGTATTCAATTGAGATTTTTAACGACTTTTTGAGATTTAAAATAAAAAAAATTAGAAGTTTGGAGTATTTAAATTTTTATGACTTCTAGAAATTTTTATAAAAGTTTCAATGGTACTAACTTTTAAATAGAAAGTATTAAAATAAAATCTCAAAATTTGTCTCTCATTAATCACAAGATTTTGGCAGATTTTTACATTAAAAAAAATATTAATTTATATATTTTTAATATTTCTCTTACCTTTTTCCTTTTACAAACATTAGAGTTATGATTAAAATTTATTTTTTTCTATTGATTATATTAGTTTCTATTTTTTCCTCTCTCTTATTTTTTATTTTTATTTTCTATGAAAAAAAATTAAATTGTATTCTTATAAATTTTTTTTTATTGCTTTTTCATTCATTTTTTCTGAAATATATATATATATATATATAAGTTTTAAATGAAAGTTTGTAAAATTCCACAAAAGACTTCTACTAATATCATACAATTCTCTAAAAAATCTACGAAATACATCAAAATATTCAAAAGTCTCAATTGAATACACGCCCTTAATATTAAAACCGAAGCTCAAATGCCATCTTTTCGAAAAATGAAATGATTTTGATCCAAGTTGTACCGCTTTTAAGGTTTAAATATTTTGCTTCTGTTAGAGCTCATTTTTTGTTAAAAAAAAAAAATTTGCAATAGTATTTTTTGAAGAATGTTTAGTTAAAAAGTAGGTAAAAGTTTTAGGTTTAAGTGTAAAATTATTTTATTGAAAAAATGTGTGGTTGAAAATGAGTTTAAGTAAAAAAAATGAATTTTTAGATAATTAGACTTTATCGGTAGTTTGAGACCTAAACAAATGTTTTAAAAATAAAATAATAAAAAATACACAAATGTAACAAATTTAAAATTTTGACAGAAATTGGTCCAAATTGAATGTGGATCAGACTTTTAAATTATAATATTGACTTTCAAATAAAATTATAAATATTAAAGTTTTAAATAATATAGGTACTTTGGTCACCAAACCTTAATCTTCGAGCCGCAAACGTCGCAGTACACAAAGCACCACAAAATCCGCGGTTCTCACCCTCTCACGTTGAGAATTGTGAAGATCATGTTGGGACTTCACATTTTGTTTATTTGAGTTGTACTGTGACTTACTATTATTTTTGTAGTTTTTATTGTGTTTTGGTTGATGTATATATATTTTTATTTTATCGACGATAAAGTAGAAAAATAATTTTATAATTTATAAACTAGCGACGTTAAAGTGAATATGTTAGATATAATGAAACATAATTTAAAATCAAATCAAATCATTTCGTTTAGGTTTGAGTTTTTCTCATACCATTTGGAACAATTAGATTTAACTCAATTTTTTTTCGTTTAGATGCATGACGGCTGCCCCGCAGCAACCCAAGAATTAATGCATTTGACTCCAAAAAAATGAATCGTGCAACAACTTGGAATGCCTAAATATAGCAAGGAGACTTCTGACTTCAGTGTTCAAACGAAGGCCATAACATGTATACCATTCTAGACACTTATGGTAAACCAAGAACTTTGACACAGAACGGAAGTTTTAGGATTACAAACGTAAACCCAAACGAGAGAAAATTATAATTCACAAGAAAAATAATAGCCTCCAAAATTCAATGATCTTTATTCAGAAAACAAGAGTCTTTAAATAGTCTCTGGAAACCCTAATTTAAGCAAAAGACCAAAATAGATATCCACTAAATTAAAGCAACTAAAAAGGGAAAAAACCAAAAATAACGTTAAAACTTTGACCGTCGGTAACACGCCTTAAATTACGAATTTGAGGCTGAAAACAATGTCAATCGGGGTAACCCTAGTTGGGATGGTATGGAGCGCTGAGAGACGTTTCTAAAAACATATTATAGGAGAAAATCTGACATCGATGCAAAAAGTTATGCCCGTTTCTTCGGAACAGCTCTTTTAGCCAATTTTCGGTCTAATTCTTCTTCAAACTCTAACGCCAATTGTCCTACATCAGGTTTACAGTCAAAAATAGGGAAAAAAATCCTTATAAGTTGGCCACATTCCAAATTGCAAAACCAGATTGAAATTTTTGCAGTCACCAATGGTCCTAGAAGTTTTATTATTTTTTCTGTTTGTTACTATAATGGCAAGTTCATATGCAGAAGCCCAAAATCCACTTGGCGCAATACATGTCAATGGAACTCTATATTGCACCATCAATGGCAGTGCCAATGGCCCTGCAACACCAGTTTTTCCCAGTAAGTTGCATCATATTTCAATATAAAAGAAACCCCTATTCAATAGTCAGTATGATGCTAAGAGTTGTGTGTGTTTTTTGCAGATGCTTCGGTGCAGCTCGAATGCCAGCCTGCAAACCTGGTGGTTACATCAAATTCCTGGGCAGAATACAACACTGGATGCAATACTGTCTTCTTGCAAATTAGCTGTTAACACACCTCTCTCCAATTGCAATGCAAACCTACCATCAGTTGGTCACCTCATTTCGACATTACAGTTCGTTAAAACAGTTCCTGTTGGATTTTTAAGGGTCACGTATCTAATTACTACCGATTTTCAGCTCATCTAATTAATGCATCGAATGGCTGCCTCTATGAATAAATAATGAGATTGTTAAACAACTCTTTCTTATGAGTTTACAGTTCTTTTTTTTTTTCATTTCCGGAGTAATGTTGCTAGAAATTAATCTAAAAAAAATAAAAGATTTGTGTTGAATACAAATGTTTCAAATACATTACCTTCCATCCCGGAAATCGATGATTTATGGTTCCTGTCTTGGATTTCAAATTTCGAGATTGCAAAGAACAACCTTTGGATTTCAAATTTCGAGATTGCAAAGAACAACCTACTTAATGGATAGAAATGTGGCGATCCATCAAATCTATGCTATGGGTATATTTGTACATGAAAAGGAGGAGGAGACCGAATGCCAACCAATTTTGTCTAATAGAAAATCATGCTCTCTCTCCCTCAAAACAATGTTCCTCTCGGTCATAAATAATTAACATAATACATTTCCGAAATGAATTGGCTGAAAGAAGACGTGTCGTGGAAATGTATATCCACCCACCCCACCAAGAAAAAGAAAAGAAACAAAGCAAGGGTACTAAAAGAAGCCATAATTAGGCACAAATAGGGGGGGGGAGGCTTTTAATTACATTAATTCCAAATTACATAATTTTAAACATTGAAATCCTCACTTGATAGACACAAGTCGTAAAACGAAACATTAACAAATCACAACAACAATATATAGAAATAGACACAAGTGTAGTTCTTAATTAGTGCCTACGAAGAGCAATAGCAGAAAGCATGACGAGAAATATGAAGATGACTGCTGCAATGAATGAAGCCACCACTGCGCTGCTAACACGCTGGCAGAAGTCAGTGAACTGTTGACAAATTGCAAACCAATTTGTGTTGGCATTTCCATTGTGGGCTAGGTACACGATGGCTGCAGCCGAGGCTGCTGCAGCTGTAGTAAAAGCCACCAGCACCTGCACAGAATTCATAATTTCGTAACACATATAGTTTCATTCTGAAATCGAAAGATAGAAGTTGTAAAGACAAGACACGTTGGCTTAAGTACCACACCATGAAAGTATGTTTGGTACATTAGAATGGACTGATTTGTACATGGTTAAATTGTCCAGATACTAAACATGCCTTCAATTACTTACTGTGTCGAAAATGAGGAGGAGAAGCTTTGCTCCTGCAGCATGTGGACGAACAATGCAGACGATGGAGAAAGGCAGGGATAGTACCAAGTAGCCACTAGCAATAGCATTTGCCACCACAAAGAACCTGCACTTACGAAATTATTAGTCCAAAAACTTGCACTACCAGAAAACTCACCAGAAAAATAGAATAACAGCAAATGAAAGGGAAGAAAATGAACGTACATGAAAGTTGGGAGGTCATCATAGCTGGCTTGGAACTGGAAGAATTGTGTGAAGAAAGGAAGAGTTTCATCAGTGGTTCCCATCGTGGTGGTTGCAACTAAAGCAGCCACAATTGCACAAATTCTTAATATGAAGTCAAATATAGAAATGCCTCTCTTCCATCCACCTTGCTGATATGGAGTTGCCTTTGTCGTAGCAGTATGAGTTGCAGGAGCCTTGCCTTCGCTGGATTTAGACTCGGTGATGTTAATTGCTGTTTCGCCACTGCTCTTTGTTGAATCCATATTCACACAAGTTGCTAATGTAGGAAGATGACAAGAAAATTGAATGCTTAATTTGGGAAGAGAGAAATGATGGCTTAGGAAATATATAGGGAAAAAAGAGGGGGAGCAGTTAACTAATGGATTAGTTCACATATCTAATAATATTCAGTGTGCTGTGTGAAGGTCGATTCTTGTACCAAGTTGATTTTACAAAGGTGGGATGGGATAGAGGAGTTGTTACTAACTTGCTCCACCTTAACAAAGGATTAGGACTCTACAATTTGCATTCTTTAGTACATCATTCGACAATGATACATTAGCAGCCTGATTCTCTAGCCATCCACATCCAAAACAATCAAAGTCTAGTTTTAAATAAATTTAGAGCCAACTACACATGTTCTCTGTTGTCATCTTCTAACCGTAAATGAATATAGATCCTTTTAAAAAGATCTATGAAAACATCTATTAGCTACAAGTCAAATGGTTTCAAGTGCCAGTTTCCCCATCAATTTAGCCAAGGGTGCAGGGCACTTTGTTACAATATCTAACTTGGAAGAATTTGAGGCATGCATAAAGAGAGAGAGACTAAGCATAGCAAGCTCTCCTACAGATAAACTTGAGTACAAGTATCCATTCCAGTAATGAGGTTCAAGACCAAAGAAAGCATCAAAAAAATTTCCTCATCCCGTTCAAATTGAGTTTCAATAGAAACTCCATCCCAAATCTGTAACATTCCCTGGTGCATCTCCTCTCAACACGCCACAAGCCATTCCTCAGTGGTGTCCCTCTAATCATTCAAGTTGAACCAAGGCACTCGGCAATGGCCTCAGCCAGAATTGGGGCGAAAGCCAATGTACGAGCAACCGAGAAGCCAGTCGAAGGATGCACCGTCCCTGAATTTCCACCAATTTCCATCACTTCTGAGGGATTCGCGGAAGGGGTCCTCCCATTGGGATTAAACACTTCTCATCCTCAATCACACTCCGTCTTTATACCTAAATGCCCAGGGGTGGACTCAGACTTTCAATCAAATTATAATTCAACCATTGATCTCCGATTCGATTGCGCAGATGATTTTTGACATAAGTCATCGCAGAAAATGTTCTCTCGACTGAAGTAGTAGCCACACGAAGAATTAAGGTTAATGTTAGAAACTTGTAGACTAATGGATACACTTCATGTTTATTCTTTGCAATCAATTTTTGCGTAAGATCACTAATGCCCTGTAGCAAGTCTTTTTCCTTTCTTATTTAAAAAAATTTATTTGGTGTAGATTAAAATTATTTTTTAGTAAATCTTGTTGGAAAGCAATAATGTCTCCTTTAAATCCAAAGTATGGGTCATAAATAGTTAATGTGTCCTTATTGAACATCATTAATTTTCATATGAGATCGTTGAAGTTTTGATTCTATATATATTAAACAAGATATATTACTCGTACAATTGAAATTCTAAGTAGACTAACAATGGTGGATTAACGATCTTAGTGCATTCCGTGATTTGATTGAACTTCAAAATTAACTTATTTTTAGTTGTTTATTTTAGAAGATAATTAGATTATAAAAATCTAAAATCAAACTCTAAATCATTAATTTCATGTGTTTAAATTAGAATTAATTTTAATTAAAGTAAACGAGTTGATATTTATTCTTCAATATATCTATTCGAGGAAAAATCTTGACAATAACTCTTATTTTACTATTTTCATTTCTAGGGTGCACATAGCAATTATATAGAAGATAAATTACGATGCGAAATGTGAATACCAAAGTAACTTTAGTTTGTAGATGTTGGAATTTGATTAAAGAAGCTGAAAGTCTGAAAGTTTTATAAAATATATGATTAATTACTGATTTTAATTTGTTTGGAGGCATTTTTTTCCAAAGAAGAACAAAAAAACCGACCATTCTGACCATTTGCAGGGCATTAGTTGAATTCACTGTGGTTGCTCCAGTTCGTATGCCATTTTTGCCCTTACAGTTGCAATAATTGTGGTGCAACTTTTGGAATGGAAGGGCATATTCGGAATAATGACTTATAGTCAATTGGTGTGCAGGTCATTTATTGAATCTACTGTGCATTATTTGAAAGAATAAATGCATTTTCTTGACAAGAAAGGGCACCAAACGAAGGCGAAGTCTTTTCCTCTCCTATCAAAAAAAAAAAGTACTTCAAAATCCTAGTGGGACACTTGCCCCACTAGGCCCCCCCCACTGTAGATCCGCTAGTGTTAAAATGCCGTAATCTCGCCACCATTCTTTTCTTGACCTCCAGGTACGACTAAACAGGCCTGCTAACAAGAGGAGTTTCTTCTAAGAATATCAAATTCGAATAAAAAGGCATGATGTATAGAAAAGTTGGAAAACTAGAGTTACTAGCACGTAAAGTTGGCCCATTTCCAAGACGAGAATCCCTCCAATCCATGAGAACCATCTTATCGAAATCAAAGGGATGATAATCTACTTGGGCTAAAATACCATGAGCAATCTGATAGCCAGGATTTCTTTGCTTATCATATTCAATCAATACACTTGCAAAACCACTTGCATCAACTATTAAGCTTGCCTTCAACTCAGTACCATCATCACAAATAATTGAAGACTCAAACTCCTCATGCTCTACTTTCCAACCTTTGGCCTTATGGAATTCGACGTCATTTGCCATGTATCCACCTAAAAATTTCAACTTCAAGTACTTGGTTTTATGATCATTAAGAAAAACACAAGTCATAGGCCATGTATTGTCCAAACAATCCTCAAGTCCTAAACTCTCAAATTCATCAACCCAACAAACCGTAATTGTTTGGCCACATAGAAAGTGGGAAGAATCAACACAACATACCTTGATCTCATACCGGGATGCTTGCTCAGAAAGCCGAAGCCCAGCTGGACCTGAACCAATGATGATCACATCAAAACTATTGGGAAAAATGGGTGATTTGTGCGTAGATTATCAATTATCATTAATCAATAAACAACAATATAAAAAGCATGAGTTAATAACTAAATTATTAATATAAACATAAGAACATAAGTAGACAAAGACAGAAATCAAGCCTTGGGGAGTCACGTCAAAGACTTAATGAGTTAAAAATTTAACATTTGGATTTGGCATGGTGTCACATACACATGTCTACTAGGGTATTATCAGTTGATATAAAACATTCCATGAAAATCAATAACCAGCTTTGTGTTTTGTAAGTTACGAAAATTCACTTCCTTCTACTTATTAATTTATGCATTCAAGATGAAAGGAAGAATTTCAACACATGCAAGACAGGCACCTGAAACAACCACATGTATTATCCCATGTATCACAAAACATTAGACAAACAGAATTAACATAAACATAAATATATCAAATATGGTTTAACAATATTGATCTAAGCAAAGATGCCTTCATAATCATAAAATACGCTTTAGGAATACTCCAAATTATCTAAACATCGTGTCCCAATTTAATTAGACCATAAACTAATTTTCAAATATAGCACATCAAATATTCCGTAAAAGAAATGTTGTTTCGATTAAACGAAGTCCCTTGAATACGAGTTTTGGTTATAACATACGATGATACTATCTCACCGTACGAGCTAGAATTTGTCTTATCTCTATAGTATATATAACTATCCAAAATTAGAGATAATGCCAAAAGAATGGCAATCTTTTCGGATTATGGTCCAGCAAAGCAGGATGCTACAACGTAAGTGGAGTATATGTGTTCGATACATACTCTCAGGTTTTCTGCTAAATGTATTCCCATAGATCAACAAAAGAGGAGAAGCGTACTACAAGTAAACATAGATAATACATGTATTGGAGAAATTCATTAAAGTTCAGACAACAAACCAGATTTTCATTAGTTATAAATCCCATTTTCTAGAGCTCATCACCAACTACGAACACAGATGTGGCTGAGTTGGTGTAACAGGTGAACGCGGAGACCAAAGGTCACGAGTTCAAAGCCCTTGCCAACACTTCCTCGATCGAGTCTGTCGCACCGGGCTTACCTAGTGCGATTTACCTCTCCTATGTGGTTTGCGGGCTATTGTACATAGAGCGGAGTTTACCTAGTGAGCACTCGCAGTGGTCGGAGGTCTGCTGGTGGATAGAGACTGCGGATTCGTACGTCAACAAAAAAAAACAAGGGACCTTCTTCTCATTTTTATTGTGGGCTCCATTGAATAGGATGTTCACACACAACAAAATACCACTAATTTGATCCTTAAAAAGACATTATAACTGCAGGACTTCAAATAAACAAACATGCCGCACACTGTTTTCAAGTTATATTATAATGGAAATATTTACTATTTAGGCAATCATTTTCCCCCTACTTTTTTGCACTTGCACAGAAATAATCACATGAATATCATAGAAACGAATTATGAAAATAAAACTAAATATATGCATGCCGTATCATTTTCATAATCAATGGGGAAAACCAAAAGGACAGAGTTATCACATAATTCAGTTAAACCAGCATTTTAAGACGAGCACCATCGGCTGCATCTACGCGAAATATACCAATTTACAATTCCAAAAGAATGCACACTCCAATGTACACTTACAAAAGAACTGTACAGACACTCTAACTTCAATTATGAAACTCATTCCTAACCCCTCACGGTCTGTAGTTCACTTATTCTGTACAGACACTCTAACTTCAATTATGAAACTCATTCCTACCCCCTCACGGGCTGTAGTTCACTTATAAAACCAAAATTCAAAGCAGAGCAAAGGATCAAACACTATCTTCTTCTATGCACAAATCACTCCAACACGACTTTAGATTGTTGGGAAAAATTGATGATTTGTGCCTAGATTATCAATTATCATTCATCAATAAACAACAATATAAAAAGCATGAGTTAAAAACTAAATTATTAATATGAACATGAGAACATAAGTAGAAAAATTTAGAAAGCAAACTTTAAGGAGTCACGTTAGAAACGTTGTCTTAAAGTCGTGTTGCCTCCCCTTCATACGAATACTTTTTGACACTACACAACTCCAAAATTAAACCCGTGTGGCTCACAGTCGATTCTCCTTCTATGAGTGCTACTATAAGGAGATAAAGAACGAATCTCTCATTGACAGGGGCGGAGGGAGGGGTGGGCTCTACTGCCTCTACACCCAGCCCAAAAGCAAAATTTTATGGGGAAAAAAAGCATATATCCCTGATTAATATATATTAATTTATTTTATACTACTAAACTGTTTTAATAACCAAAATTACTACATAATCCCATTACAATCCCAATAGTACAGTACATGAAACTTTCCTTTTTGGATCTGTAATTGAAAGTCTTCATGGACAAACAAAACCGGTAATATGGAAATTCACATTCAAATTGCAATTGATTGATACTTAAAAAAAGAATTAGTTCACAGGTTTACGGTTTATGGTAATATGAATTTAAAAATTTTTTAAACTAAAAAAATAAAAAAAAAATCGGAAAAACCACCAAATGGTGACTAGTTCACTGGTTTACTGTTGAACCAGTCGATTCAGTTGGTTTTGAGTGATTTTGTCATAATCAGTTAGCTTGGCATGATTTGGCCTGATTTTAGATCCGGTTTTGTTTTACCGTGTGGTTTAGAGTATCTTTTATTGTATAAGTTTATTGAAAAAAAAATAAAATTCAGCACAGCCTAACGTAACTTTCTGGCTCCGCCCATGCTCATTGAGTTGCTAAAATTGTATGAATATAGTATAAAATTATAGAGAAGATAATACTTCAAGTTTTTGTGTGAAATTATAGAAATTGACTCCCTTTTACAGTGTAAAACTTGACCCTCACAATAATGAGAATTGTCCCAATTAAAATATAAGTTACATTATGAAATTATGAGTTTCAATTTTGAAAGATTATAACTTCATTTTCTATGTTACAACAAAAACGACGTCGATCAGAGGGATCAAACCATGAGAGATCAAAATCTACTGGTTCTGGTTTTAATACCGGTTCCATGAAAGCTAGGAAATTTGCTGCTCTGAACTCTTCGATGAACTTTTCTTGAAGGGATGTTAGGATTTGGAGAACTCAGTGATGAATTAGAACTAGAAGTGCAATGTAAAAGTGGAAAAGGCCTGAAAAGAGTTTCCATGACAGAAAGGTATGCAGAGGAATCAGCATAATCAGGCAAGTGATGCCCTTTGTGATCATTTTGGACTATACAGAAACTGTATTTTTTTGTCCTATAATATTGTTATCCCCTAGGATTGAAAGCTCCAGGTCAATAGTCCACATGGACATCCACGTAGACTTTTTCTTGCCAAATAGACAGAAAGTTAGTTGAAAAGTCAATGAGAAAGCCAACGCATACAGGGTCGAGGGATACTCCTACGTCCGAAGCTCCTTCGTTCGAAGACTGAAGCTCCTACGTCCGAAGCTCTTTCATGCAAATGCATAGGCTCTTGAAAACCAAAGCACTGAAGCTTAATACATACGTTTCTTCATAGCGGATTCGAAGATCTTACAGGAATGATTGACGTGACATCTGCCATAGGGTATCTCTAGCATTAATGTGTGTCAGTAAGCCAGTCTACAAAGTAGAGCGGCAAATCTCCTGCAAAACAATAATTGTAAGGATTAGAAACGCGTCGGATCATTACTTGGCTTGGCAAGAGTGGACCCGGTGTCTGTTGAGTTCATTTTTTGAGGTCAACGAATATAATATATTGGTAGTTTTCAACTCTAAACAGAATAATTTTGGATAATCCGCAACAGAATTTCCAATCATAGGGATTTAAGAGCTAGATTATTTTTCTATATTGATGTGAAAACATAACTTTCACCTACTACTATGATATAATTCCCTCACGGTCTGTAGTTCACTTATTAAACCAAAATTCAAAGCAGAGCAAAGGATCAAACGCTATCTTCTTCTATGCACAAATCACTCCAACACGACTTTAGATTGTTGGGGAAAATTGGTGATTTGTGCCTAGATTATCAATTATCATTCATCAATAAACAACAATATAAAAAGCATGAGTTAATAACTAAATTATTAATATGAACATGAGAACATAAGTAGAAAAATTTAGAAAGCAAACTTTAAGGAGTCATGTCAGAAACGTTGTCTTAAAGTCGTGTTGCCTTCCCTTCGTACGAATACTTTTGACACTACAAAACACCAAAATTAAACCCGTGTGGCTCACAGCCGATTCTCCTTCTATGAGTGCTACCATAAGGAGATAAAGAACGAGTCTCTCTTTGACAGGGGCGGAGGGAGGGGTGGGCTATAGCCCACCCACACCCAGCCCAAAAGCAAAATTTTATGGGGAAAAAAAACATATATCCCCGATTAATATATATTAATTTCTTTTATACTACGAAACTGTTTTAATAACCAAAATTACTACATAATCCCATTACAATCCCAATAGTACTGTACATGAAACTTTCCTTTTTGGATCTGTAATTGAAAGTCTTCATGGACAAACAAAACCGGTAATATGGAAATTCACATTCAAATTGCAATTGATTGATACTAAAAAAAGAATTAGTTCACAGGTTTACGGTTTATGGTAATATGAATTTAAAATTTTTTTTAAACTAAAAAAATAAAAAAAAATAGGAAAAACCACCAAATGGTGACTAGTTCACCGGTTTACGGTTGAACCAGTCGATTCAGTTGGTTTTGAGTGATTTTGTCATAATCGGTTAGCTTGGCATGATTTGGCCTGATTTTAGATCCGGTTTTGTTTTACGATGTGGTTTAGAGTATCTTTTATTGTATAAGTTTATTGGAAAAAAATAAAATTCAGCCCAGCCTAACGTAACTTTCTGGCTCCGCCCCTACTCATTGAGTTGCTAAAATTGTATGAATATAGTATAAAATTATAGAGAAGATAATACTTCAAGTTTTTGTGTCAAACTATAGAAATTGACTCCCTTTTACAGTGTAAAACTTGACCCTCACAATAATGAGAATTGTCCCAATTAAAATATAAGTTACATTATGAAATTATGAGTTTCAATTTTGAAAGATTATAACTTCATTTTCTATGTTACAACAAAAACGACGTCGATCAGAGGGATCAAACCATGAGAGATCAAAATCTACAGGTTCTGGTTTTAATACCGGTTCCAAGTCAAGAAAGCTAGGAAATTTGCTGCTCTGAACTCTTTGATGAACTTTTCTTGAAGGGATGTTAGGATTTGGAGAACTCAGTGATGAATTAGAACTAAAAGTGCAATGTAAAAGTGGAAAAGGCCTGAAAAGAGTTTCCATGACAGAAAGGTATGCAGAGGAATCAGCATAATCAGGCAAGTGATGCCCTTTGTGATCATTTTGGACTATACAGAAACTGTATTTTTTTGTCCTATAATATTGTTATCCCCTAGGATTGAAAGCTCCAGGTCAGTAGTCCACATGGACATCCACGTAGACTTTTTCTTGCCAAATAGACAGAAAGCTAGTTGAAAAGTCAATGAAAAAGCCAACGCATACAGGGTCGAGGGATACTCCTACGTCCGAAGCTCCTTCGTTCGAAGATTGAAGCTCCTACGTCCAAAGCTCTTTCATGCAAATGCATAGGCTCTTGAAAACCAAAGCACTGAAGCTTAATACATACGTTTCTTCATAGCGGATTCAAAGATCTTACAGGAATGATTGACGTGACATCTGTCATAGGGTATCTCTAGCATTAATGTGTGTCAGTAAGCCAGTCTACAAAGTAGAGCGGCGGATCTCCTGCAAAACAATAATTGTAAGGATTAGACATTGATGTGAAGCTCCAGTCCAGGGGATGTCGTCACGTGGATTTGATCTAACGATATATTTGGCTTGGCTTGATCTTGAATAAGACCACTTGTATTAAAATTCATAATGTATCGTAAGATATTATCTTTTATCTATCCTTCCACATATTATATTACGCAACAGATATTCATTTTAGGAAAATCGATCTAGCTCTTGTTGATAGCGCAAGAGCTGTTTAAATAAGATCGCCGGAGTTTGAACAGTTGTGTTTCTTGCCGGATAGCACCTCCCGCGTTCTTACCAACCATACTATTGCTCCTATTCCGATAGAAACGTGTCGGATCATTGCTTGACTTGGTAAGAGTGGGCCCGGTATCTGTTGAGTTCATATTTTGGGGTCAACAAATATAATAGACTGGTAGTTTTCAACTCTAAACAGAATAATTTTGGATAATCCGCAACAAAATTTCCAATCATAGGGATTTAATAATTCCAAGAGCTAGATTATTTTTCTATATTGATGTGAAAACATATCTTTCACCTACTACTATGATATAATTGTTTACTTGAAAATGTAAAATACAATGCATTACATTTCAGTATAATATGGCTATTGAGAATTAGGCATGTAGACCCCACCCCACCTCACCCCATTACATTTCAGTATAATATGGCTACTGATAATGGGCACAATACTATTTGAGTGGAAAAAAATGTAATATTAACATGACTTGGAGTTCAACGTCCAAGAATTAAATGAGTCTAATGGCTTTCAAATAGATCGTCTTCAAACAACTAAATAAATGTGTGGTCAGCAATCCTAATAATTACTTCTATTTCACAATTCAATAATACTACTCAAACAAGAATTGAAAACACGGTTTCGGACAGGTGCCACGTTGGCAGTACCTGTGTGGCTAAATTTTATTTTTTCAAACTAATCAATAATGTTAAGACACGTGTTCCCCTGTTTTTGGTCTCTATCACTGAACCTGTTTGTGTAGCATGATTTTTCACAATTTCACAACGATGTAGAAATCCCATGTTAAAATGTTTGTAAGACAGGTATAACCTTAAATCGCAAATTTATGTGGTCTAACAATTTCTGGGTATGATTTAAAAATAATAATACTATTTTGTTTATTTTAATTACGTAATTTTTATTTTTGAAATAAATATTTTTTAAAAAATATTGTACGAGAGTGAACCAATTCAGTTTTTTAGAAACTATCAGTTGTTTTTTTATTAAAGTCTACTAATTAGTATGATTTGGTAGATGATAACCTCATTGATTTCTTACTTTTACCGATTGACTAATTACTAGATATTTATTTCTATTGCTTTCATTTTGACTTAAAACCAAATATAAAACAAAAAAAAGTCACGTGAGGAAGATTAAGAATGTTTATTTCCACTTTTTAGGTGAGATTCCAATTACAAGCATTAAAGGGGGAAGGGTTGCCCGTGAGTCGGTTCGATTCGGTTCTGAAGAGAATTGAACCGACCCGAAATTTTCGGGTATTTAATAAATGGAACCGTCGGGTCCAAATATTATTATGGAACCGTTCAGGATCGGTTCGGTTCCGATCGGTTCCATACCATAATTTATTTTTTTAATATTTACAGCAACACTACATAAATACAACTAATGACATTTCATTCGTAACTTTTACAAATTAACGTAACTCAATTCAAAAACATAATCTGATTTATTTAATTAATTTGCTAATTTGTTTAGAAAAAAATAAAATAATTTAATTAATTCAATATAAAAAATAAAAAAATTATTTAGTTTCGGTTCTTATTCGGTTCTTCGGTTCTTGGTCTAGACCCGAGACCCGACCCAAACCCATCGGTTCTCGATTCGGGTACCCGTTCGGGTATTTAATTTATGAAGAACCGCTCGATTCGGTTCGGGTTCGGTTCGGGACTTTTGGACACCCCTAGTAGAGGGTGTTTTGTAGAGAGATTAAAATTGTATTTTTAGTAGATTTTGATAGAAGTTTTTGAAATGTGTGGTTGAAAAGCTGTGAGACACATGAAAAATGTGATTAATATTAACTGTTTGATTTTGACTTCGATTAAAATCAGATTTTAATCTGAACCACATAGGGGGCTAAATATTATACTTCTCATTTAATATAATTTGTATAGTTTAGATTATGTTTGGTAAAAGTTTAAACTAAAATTTAAATTGGTCAAGCACACTTTTTAATCCACACATTTTACGAGATATATAAATTATTATTCATTTTATATTTATACATTATGGGTCCTTGCAGCCAATTAATTCAAATAACCAAACAAACATCTTAATTTTAGCCCAAAGCAAGAATACCCCAACATTTTGCAAATAGAAGGAGAAAAAAGAAAAGAAAGGGTCAACACGTCATGTTCTGTGGTGACTTGTAAACCGTGTTATAGCCTGGTTGCATGACTTAGCCGGTGACTTCTAATAATTTCAAATTTGGAAAATTGATAATTGACATATAAAAAAATTGACTAGAAAATAATACGAAAAATGGAAGAAAAAAAATAGAGAAACAATTCCATAATAAAGTGAAAAGGTAAACCTAATTTGGAAGTATTAGGGTTTAGGACCAAGTCTGGAAGGGGACAGAACATGTTGTGCAGGGTCCATACATTAAGATTTTGTTTGGTCTCGTTATTTTCAAAATAAATTTTTATCTCTCTTATTTTGAATTGTACATTTTTTAATAAAATAATATTAAACGTAAATTCAAAAAAATTTCTTATTTTTTAACCACACATTCTCCGTCGAATCACTATTCCAAAACGTATTTTTGACAAAAAAAATGAGGCTCAAATGATTCGATCCTATAGTTTGAAACCTGTTATATAATATTGTTTAAGTAAATTGTTGAACCCTTATTAATTAAATTAAAATAAGAATGCGATTTGAGTAGGTAAATCTTCTGAGTTTCAAGTATCGTCACTGCCTATTTAAGGAAATTGTGCACGTATTAGACTTTGATAGGAAAAACTGAATCATGCTTATACGTGAGGGTGTGTAAAGACAATATTTATACGTACATATATATCATTCAAATATTATTTTCAACGAAAAAGTACTTATACAATCTTACAAGAAATTACGCGTTCTGGAAAATCAGGTCACAATATTATGTTTATAACTCCTCACTTTAATTAAGAACCCTACACTTTGGCCCACTCAACTAGATTTTCTAAACCATTGGAGCCTCCTGCATGGCTTTCTCCAGATATTGAACTTTCCGATGCCCAGAATATTCTTGCACATTCAGAAGTTGCACCACCTCGACTTTCATTTTCTTGATTGATCATCATCTCCCTTGGTGGCGGCACCAGCCCGGTCGGGCGTCGATCGAATGCTCGAGAACTTCCCGACACCACGTAAAGTCGACATAGGCTCAATTCATGCCTCAACTGAAAATCAAACAAACGGTTAATCAAATTGGAATTTCCGGAGAATAGAAACTTGTGTTTTTGACTAATTTTTTTGATCAATAGACGAGATACGAGTTAATTAAACTTATATAAGTGCACCTTGGGAATAGAAGTAGGGAAATCTTCCTTAATGGCTCTATACTCGTTCATTTTCCATTTTGTTTTTCTTCCAGTGGGAGCTTTCCCTGTGTAATACACCATGCTTTTCTTAACTCCAATCACTTTACTATCGGATGAATAAACATAACTCGGTGAACCAGTGGCCTTCCAGTATCCCAAGGCCGTGGTCCGACTCGGCCTCCCTCCTCGTACTTCTCTTTCCTGACTTGGGACAAAGAAAAACCATTGCTCACTGTCTCCACGGCACACCTCCCCTGAATGTTCTGCATTGGAAGACCAAAACAAAACCATTTTTAACTAACATAGCCGTTCGAGGATGTGTAGGTAGAGGGGATTGGACAATACTGAATAGAAGTAAAAAATAAAAAGAATTGCTCATACTTGGTAGGTGCCATGGCTCGAGCTGGTAAACGTTGATGAGGGGTATAACGCAATTTATGTCTCGTCGGGTCTCTTCAAGCTTGTTGCGTAGATAAAAGGAAACCAACTCTTCTTCTGTAGGGTAAAACCGAAACCCTGTTGGCATTTCCTCCATTTTTTTCCTCTGGTTTAGTGTGTAAAAGTGATGAGCGTTACACAAGTCATGGGGGTTGGATATGAATATCCATGTGTATACATATACTATTGATTGTGTGTGCTCGAGGGGGAGGTGGTGGGGACAGGGGTGGGAGAGTAGCCGAGTGAAAGGAGAAAATCTGAAAGGGATTCCTGTTGGAAACTTTCACGCGGCTGAGCATGGAAAATTAAGATTCTTGTCCAATTATCTTTTTTCTGTAAACATGATATAATTGTAAATATTGAACCAGTCAGACTCCTCTCATTTGACAAGTGAACTGCTAGAGGGTCGGACATTTTTATTGAGGACTATCGATTCAGATTAAATTTGATTTTACCAGCTATTTCAGTTTTGGGTCTTAAAAGTGAGAACTAACGATTCTGCCTAAGTTATCGATTTTATAGAACTAAATTATTATTTGATTCCAATATTTTTTTTTTTGGTTAAAATCTATCAATTATACTTCTTTCGTCCCATAAAAATAGGCTTAATTTCTTTTTTCGTATGTCCCACGTTATAAAGTACACATGTTTAATATACCTATTATCGACAAATATAAACTAATCATATTTAAATCATTATTTAATATAGGAGTATATTAGGAAAAAATGTAAAAAAATAAAATAAAAAATTTATGATTCGTTTGGCTTACTACTTTCAATCTATTTTCAATTTTCCAAAACACTGAAAACGTGTTGGGTCTGTATTTTTGAAAATATATTTTCAAAAACAATGATAAACTTATAACACAAAACTCAAAACTCAAAACTCAAAACACACTTTTGATGTTTTGAGTGATTTCAATGAAAATTTTAAACACACTCAAAGCGTGGAAAATGAACATTTAAATAAACTTTTATTTAAATAAAATTATAAAAATTAAAAAATTTTAAAAATAAAATATAAAATTCTAACAAATAAAAATTTTAAATTTTAAAAAAATAAAATTTATAAAT